TCTCTTTATTCTTTGTGCCTGTTCCACTTGTTCTTCTCTTGATATTTTATCTTCTGGCTCTATCGTGTTAGGTATACTCAATTATGTAATGTTCTCTCTAGTATTTCTTTTGTATCTGTTAGTGTTTATCCCTGTTTATTTTTATTTATTCTCATGTGTTCCCTGTTTTCCCCCCTTAATTTTTTTATTCTCGTCCAGAATTTCTTACAATCTGTTTTGTATTCTTCCTCGTATTCTTCTGTTATCTCTTCTCCAAACCCCTTCTAGGATTTTTTCTTTGTTCCTTTAATTTCATTTTTCACTGCATATAATCCTCTTTGTCTTTCTGTGTTTTTGTTAGTTCATAGTGTTTCCATACTGTTTTCTTATCTTTTGTCAAAGGAGTTATTAAGGGCAAAACGCTTGTGCGTGATAATCCGGTGGGAGGTGTGAGGAGAAAGAAGATAAAGGTGTGTAAGTTACACACAGACGACGAGGGGGAGAGAGGTCAGAGTACCTAGTATTGGGAAAAAAGACAAAGGGGAAGAAGGTGAGATGGGGAACGAAAATAGAGATGGAGCACCGAAAAACATTGATGACGACAGGAGATACGCAGAGAATAAAATAAATGGGGCGTGGGAGTTTTGTAGGAAGAATGGAAGGGGAGAGGTAAGGGGACGGAATTGCGGAAGACAATTGCTTACGTGACGTACAAAAGACCTCTTCAAGAGTATTCACCTTTTTAATAACCTTTCGGCCACCTAAGGGGCTTGTAAGAGCTGTTTGCGACTATTATGTACTTTTCAAGACATTTCAATAGTCTGTGTATACCTACGAATCCTGAGAAGACTCCGTTCTAGACATTTTACAAAATGTTGGGGACCCCTAGGGCCCTTCGTTTGCAAAATCATCCACTAGCTCTAATTAGAATATTTTAAAAACACACGCGTTTATTGTATTCTTCTGGAGCTTCCTAAAGTATGCTTCTAGAAACTTTAGTAGCATCCAAAAACCTTTAAGGGAGTTTAAGCAAAGCCACCCATCACTTTCTGTTTATATGTTGTGGTCACTCTTCATGAACCTTTTTGAAACCTCGTGAGACTTTGGTGTTTGTCAGAGCCCACGCCACTTAAAAGTCTATAAAAAGCGTTTGTAAGTATAGTAGTTAAGGGCACCTAAAACCGCCAGCAGAAAACCTTTAATCCATTTTGAAGATCGTTAAGAGATTTTAATAAGAAAAAGTGTTTTCCCCAGAAATTTTGGTGTATTCGATTTTTGGTAAAAAAAGAAGGTTATACACTGCCTTTTTTTGAACCCAGAAAAAAAAATTGTCTCAGATCGACCCCGAAAAGGAATTTTCTTATAGAATGTGGCCTGTAGAATCCATAACTTTAAACAGTTCCAAGATTCGGCTACTAGTTCAAAAGTTACAGCCCTTTGAATTTTTTTTCGAAATTGGTTTCTAGTCTATAGTTGATTAAGAAGTCTGATCGAAAAAGTACGAATTGATTTGGATTCTACGCACAAAAATTAAGAGGAAAAAGTGTTTTCCCGAGAAATTTTATTGTAGTCGATTTTTGGTAAAAAAGGAAGGTTATACACTGCCTTTTTTTGAGCCCCGAAAAGAAAATTGTCTCAGATCGACCCGGAAAAAAATTTTCTTATAGAATGTGGCCTGTAGAATCCATAATTTCAAACAGTTCCAAGATTGGGTTACTAGTTCAAAAGTTACAGCCCTTTGAATTTTTGTTCGAAATTGGTTTCTAGTTTATAACTTTTGATTAAGCTGTCTGATCGAAAAAGTACGACTTGATTTGGATTGTACGCACCCAAATTAATAAGAAAACGTGTTTTCCCGAGAAATTTTGGTGTAGTTGATTTTTGGTAAAAAAGGAAGGTTATACACTGCCTTTTTTTGAGTCCAGAGAAAGAAATTGTCTCAGATCGACCCGGAAAAAAATTTTCTTATAGAATGTGGCCTGTAGAATCCATAATTTCGAACAGTTTCGAGATCGGGCTACTAGTTCAAAAGTTACAGCCCTTTGAATTTTTTTTCGAAATTGGTTTCTAGTCTATAACTTTTGATTGAGAAGTCTGATCAAAAAAGTACGAATTGATTTGGATTCTACGCACCCAAATTAATAAGAAAAAGTGTTTTCCCGAGAAATTTTGGTGTAGTCGATTTTTGGTAAAAAAGGAAGGTTATACACTGCCTTTTTTTGAGCCCCGAAAAAAAAATTGTCTCAGATCGACCCGGAAAAAAATTTTCTTATAGAATGTGGCCTGTAGAATCCATAATTTCAAACAGTTCCAAGATTGGGCTACCAGTTCAAAAGTTACAGCCCTTTGAATTTTTTTTCGAAATTGGTTCCTAGTCTGATCGAAAAAGTACGAATTGATTTGGATTCTACGCACCCAAATTAAAGGGTCTTGTTGCTCTTTAGAAGTACTTAGGAGCTTGTACTGACCACCTTTAAAGTTCCTTGAGAGAGCTTTGGGCGGTCATTTAGGGTCATTAAGGGATTTTAGAATCTGCAAGATTATTATTTATCTAAATTTCAAGAAAACACTTTACAGACCAGCCAGTAAAAATATTTAAGCGAATGTGACAATCTCGAAGAAGGCTTAATGTCATTAAAGGCTCTTTAAAACCTTTGAGAGATGCAGACAGTATCAAGGGAGCGTAACAGGACGACCAAAAGTTCTTCTTTCTCTACATGTCGATCCTTTAATTGAGAATCTTATGCAAATTCCAAATCCCTTCAAGAGCTCTCCAAAGGGTCACCAAAAGCTTCCCGTAATCCTTGAGAGTCCTTGAGAACCTGTCCTCTTTAAAAATCGAGCTTTTAAGAAAAGTTCTAACAACACTTAAATCTCTTGAAAGGCATTATTATTAGTATACAATCCCCCGGATAAAAACCCCTCTCGAATAACAGAGAGTGTGACACCCAGCAGTGTTGGAAAATAGGTTATTGGTAGGTCCAGGTAATTTTTCCGAGGGTTTTTTTGTCCTAGTTAATAGACAGCTAGCTTTCAATTGTCAAAGTATTAACTCCTTAACAGTTTTTAAAGTAAGAGCATTACCATATTATTAGCCTTTAGAGATGTTTATGGTCCTTTGCGACCTTACGAAAGTTGTCTTTAGTCGCGTTTAAAGCCCCTAAGAGTCTTGCAAGTTGGGAGTTATTACGAGTTTTTAAAACAGTTTAATAGCCTACAAGGGAGTTACGTATCCAAAATTTGAAAAGACCGATTACGTGTAAAAGCAGCGCTTCAAAAGGCATCCGAGAGGCTTTGATAGCTGCCTTCAATTCCTTTAAAAATAAGTCGTCTAGAGGTTCTTGAAATGCTCCTTTCCTATAAAAGCGGAGCTTTTAGGAGTAGCAAACGGACCCTATGATCTCCTGTAAAGGTGCACCAAAAACCTTCCAAACGCTTTTTTAATAGAGTCGTCCAATTTAAAAATTTTTGTGAGACGCCTGGTCTTTCAGAACCATTAGAAGCCTTATTCGTTAGGAGTATTTCAGATCTGATCCCAAAGATCTTCTAAGATCTTAAAACTGCTTTAATGTGATCGCTTAAGAATCCTTAAGGATTCCAAACAATTTTAAGTCTCGCGTACAGTTGTAGAGAGCCTCCACGTTAAGTCGTTACGATGTTTTTAAAGAAATTCTTCACAAAGGCCTTTTGCGTTCCTAAGAGCTTTTAGGCGACTTTAATTATTACCACATATCTAAGAGCATTCTCCCGTTATTAGTCTATGAGACCTCATTGGTCGGTTTTATGGGTATTTAAAAACTCTCAAGGGCCATTAATATAATAATAATATTAAGAGACATTATTTCTCTCTAAAACCATTTCAGAACTTGATGAATCACTAGAATTACCAATGCAAAGGTTTCAATAGGTTTTACAGTACTTTTAAAGGGTTTTGTCAAAGTTTAAGGACCTTTTAGAGGCATTATATCTCATTAAGGCTGTGTAAGAGCTTGCATGGGCCTCAAAAAGTTTTCTCACCAAGAGATTTCTGCTCTTGACCTTGCCCTAACGAGCGGGTAAGAACTTTTGTAAGAGCCACCAAATCCCTTAATACACTCTAAAATTGCTTAAAAGACCAATCTTGAGCCTTTAAAACCTTTGTATGTCCCTAACTCTTTTCAACAGCTTTTATTGCAATTGAGGAAGAAACAATATTCAAGAGCCTCAAAAAAGTGACTTTCTCTAGAATGCTCCTCTTTCTATGAGATCCGTACTCTCAAGAGTCGAAACAGTCTTCAAGAGCTTCCGGAGGGTTCAAAGAATCTCCGAAGTTCTTTTTGAGATTGTCTACTTTGTTTGACGCGAGCCGGTAAAACCTTTTGAGCTTTTAAAGAAGACTAACAGACAGTTGGCCTTTAAAGTTTGTACCTTATCATTTTTCTAAATCTGAACCGTAAAAATCTATTAGAAATTAGAACCCTTAAGGTGCTTTAGTGAGCGCTGAAAAGCTTTAGTTTTAAAGAGCTTTTCAATACCAGACTACAGATTCGAATAGCCTCCATGTAAAAGCCCCAAAGTGCTTACAGTGCATTTAGTGTTTAGCAGCTGAGCTATTAGCGGGTTTATGAATCTCTAAAAGCAATCTAGATCATTTTATATCATTCAAATCTTTTATAGTCCTTAAGATTAGAGCCATTAACAGGTACCTATCATAAGTATTTACGGATTCTTAATGGTTTTTAAAAAGTTTGAGGTCTTCCAAAAACCTTCAAAAGTCTTCCACGACTTTTGACTCATGGGAGATTACAACTTAACTCAACAAATGATGATTCACTCTCAACAGTCTGCGGAAGTCGTCATTATAAATGTATAATTCTAATTGTGGTTTCTTTCCCTTGAAAGGAGTAGTAGCTAATGGTATTTTGCGGAAACTAATGGTAAAGAAAGAAGTTCAATTTGTAAGAAGCACTTTTCTTCTACGTTACAAGGAAATGATGAAGGCGCATTAATAAACTAGGCTTTATTTGTGTTTTAGTACATTCCTAGTAATATCCTTTGTATCCGTGTGAATATCCATGTCCCAACAGTTCACCGTGGGCTAAAGGAAGTGGAGCTGGAGCGACGTGCGCGTACTTTTCCACGACCGGAAGGGCGGGGATGATGGGCGCAACCGGTTCATAGTGGGCAACCTTGGTTACGGTCGGGGCGTAGGCGATCGCGGGCGGTTGCGGAACCGAGTAACTGTATCCGGGCGTTTCGGTGTATTGGACGCGTGGAGTGATGACGTCGCTCCTGTAGGATGACGAGTAGGAGCCTGGAAGGAAGTCGGTCTTGGTCACGGCTGGCGTGACGATGCTCTTGTAGGCAACTGGTGTCGGAGCGTGGTAAACGGCAGGAGCCGGAGCGTGGAAAACGGCAGGGGCCGGTGCGGCAATTTCTAAACCGGCGTGTTCTAAGTAACCAGCGCTTACTGCGGCGATAAGGGCGAAAAGAGCTAGAACCTAAAAACCAATGTTAATCTCTCACCGAAACAAAGAATCGAAATGACTTTACCTTAAACATCTTGATGTTGCTGATGTCTCCAAACTGATGACACTTTGAGTGTCGTTGACTTATATACCTCGGAATAATTGAAAGTGAACTTTGCACTAATTGTTACGGCTGGTACGATGTGAATGAAGGCTTATGTAAGTTTTACGGAAAGTTAACGCCGTAGGTGATGCAATAATGACACGGGTTAATGTAAACATTTTCACAGAAAACGCTATCCAAATTCATTCATAAATCGCTTTTAGGAAGGCCTGAAGGAAAACGTTACGGTTAGCTGAAGGTTAAGTAGTAGGCCAAACTCCTTTGACAGGCATCCCTCAGGTTAAATTAACGTTTTAAAGACTCTCAAAATCTCCGGTATCTTTACGGTTTTTTGTTTCTGTTCTTCTGGACCACCTGGACCTTTTACATTTTATGAACTTCTGAATCTTTGACGGCTTCTAGATTTTCTAGTTCGTTCCACCCGAACAATTCAAATATTAACAGAATCTTCAACCTTCTGGATCTACCAGGTCAAAATGATCTTTTGGATTTTCCGTTGCTGTCAAAGTTTCCTAACTCCAGAGTACTAGATCACTACGATCTCCTCTCCATTCTCTAGCTTGTGATTGATTTTCTTAACACCCTTTCAAGAGTCCTCTAGATCTCCCTGTACCTACAGGATGATCGTTCGGTTCTAAACCTTGTGATAGTAGTAGATCATCTGGTTGTTTGTGAAGTTTTGTCTCTTTTGGATCTTCTGTATATCTCAATCTACTTTAGAATTTATTAAACCCTCTGAATTTTAAAAATTCTCTAGGATATATTATGGTTCTGCGCTCTTCATTCTTTCATGGTGTTCCGCATGGTGTTAGGTTTTCTTCAGCAAATCTTTGGTTAATTCGGAGGAAGTAATAAATCCATCCTTTCGAAGACCTAGACAAAAAACCTAATCGGTAGGCAGAGCTGTAAATATTTTTAGAAAAAGAGTATTTTCGATATCTAGTTACTGTAAGTATCTAAGATACCAGGTATCTAAGATACTTTTCTCTTGAGCCAAAAAGTAACTAGTTTTAGATACTTTTGTAAAGTATCTTATACAAGTTACTCTTCTAAAGTATCTAGATACCATGAAAAGTAACTAAGATACTTTCAGAGTATCTTAGATACTTTATAAGTATCTTAGACCTTCTGCGCCTGTAGAGCGTTTGTTTTCATTCGCCACTTTTATTGATTCTCGACGACGACATGCGCTAAGTGACGAAAATTTTGAACGTTTAGTTCTTTTACGGTCCAATAAAAATGTTTACAAGTACAAAATTGATGTTCTTCCTATACACCACATCTATCTATGGCGGATTTATTGGATTTAGCTTATTGAACTGTTTGTTAATTTCTATTCAAGTAAAGGTGTTTTAAATAATCTATCTAGATTATTATAAAAAATAAATTTTGGTTAGGTCTTTTATTAAGTTACATACACACAATTACAGTAAAAAATAAACTAAATGACATATTTCAAAATTAAAGTAATGCAACTTAATGGGCGACGTTCAGTTAGTGGAGGCGACTGCCTCCAATTCTGCTCTTCCACTTAACCCAATCATTTAATAAATTATTACAGAAAAGATTATAACAAAATACACAACAAAATACACAATGGCACAATTTATGGCTCAAATAACAATAATACTAAAAAGAACAATAAAATAAAAATTTTTTTGTTGAAGCGTTAATATACTTCCTATGATGTGGGGTACTAATTAATTAAAATAGTTACATTGCCTGTCAAACATGGTCTGGCGAATTAATTTTTTTAATTTAGAGGTATCTAGTTTTTTAAGTACGTTATCATTGCGTTATAAGTATTCGCCATACACTAACTAAAGGATCTTTCATAGAACGATGTTTTATGGCAAGGTGGTTTAATTAACGAAAGAAATCTAGAATTACTGCTAAATTCAATTTTAAACTGTGGGATATGTGTTCGTATTTTCTTTTACCATAAATTAATCTCAAGCAAGAGTTTTGGATTTTTTGAATTCTATTTACGTCGGCCAAATCTAAACAGGGACCGTAAAGAGCGTCGCAGTAATTGAAATGTGATAGAACCAATGCCTCACACAGTATAGTTCTGATATGTTGACTCGGACTGAAACGATTACAGGAAATTAATTTTAAATTAACATATACTTTTCTAATCATTTCCGACACCTGTTTCTTAAATCGTAAGTTACAGTCTATGACAACACCCAAACACTTTACGCTCCTCCAATTGAGACTTAATCTGCTCTCATTCTAGACTGCCCAAACAGAATTACTTACGACTTAGCGGAATTGATTCGCAAACCATGGCTTTCAGCTGTTGTAATTAAACTGCATATGTCAGTATTCAGTATCTCATTAGTACGAATTAGGTACATCATTGCTACTGGAGGTGTCATCCGCATATTGATGAATTTTAGTCTCAGTTTAACTTTTGTGGAAATTAAAGGTATATAATATAAAAAGTAATGGACCAAGGGCAGATCCTTGCGGCACACCAGCCGTTATATGAGCCAAAGAAGATTTTTCCCCAGCAATCATAACAAGTTGCGTTCTATTTTCCAAATAATTGTGAATAAGCAAGGAAGCTTCCGAACTAAAAGCAACATAATGTAGTAATGCTACAGGTATCCTGTGATGTGATTGATAGTATCAAAAGTCTTGGAAAAATCAAGTTGCACAATGACCGACATCCTGCCTGAATCTCTCGCAGCAAATAAATTATCATATATAATACCATAAGTAGTCGAAGTATTGTCGAATATTTTTGAGGTGCTGTCACGAATGCTAGTTACGCTGATTAATACCACGAGCGCTTGCGCGAGTGGTATTAAAAAGCGTAACTAGCATGAGTGGAACAGCAGCTCAAAAATAATCTAAAAATACTTCGACTACGAATGGTATTCGGAGGACTATTCAATGAATCAAAAGAAAAATTAAGCATAATTACCCACGCGAATGTATTTCCATGACAACAATAAACGTCAAAATAAATTACGGAAGTTGCTTTTCATTTTGCTATCGATTCTATTCGAACTTTTGTGCTCCAAGCTAATTCGTTATGAGTGATTAAATTAAAAGATGTGGTGATAAGTGGGTTGTCGAAATTGATTAACAAACTAAGAAGAATGTTCCGGTTAATACGACAAAATTTCGCGACATTTCACTGGTGGAAGTTTGACAAATGTCATTGAATAATCGCATTGAATTGTCGCTGAAATACCACACGTGAAATTATCGCTGAAATACCACACGTGAAATTATCACTATAATTCGTTCCCATTGGCGCAGCAATTTGAAATCGAGACATTTCACTGGTTGAAATGTGACAAATGTTAGATGAATTGAATAGTCACTCATATTCAATAATGCAGTCACACAACTGTATTCGCTTCTAAAACCAGACTGAGATGCAGGCAAAATGTCATAATCACGTAGATGATCATTGATTTGTGTTGATACTACTCTTTCCAAGACGTTTGATAATACTGAAAGGATGCTAATTGGTCGCAAATCATTATAATCCTTAGGTGGGTTGCGTTTTACTAATGGAACCACCCTTACTCTTTTCCAAATATCTGGAATTGTGCTTGTCCTCAAACAAAAATTTTTTATATAAGTAACATGCGGTATTACTAAAGGACAACACAGGAGTAACATATGTAAACTTATGCCATCTTCACCTGTAGCTTTGGACATTAGGTTATTCGCATTATATTATCCTCAGAAACATCTCGAAATTTAAGTTTACCATCCAAATGAGTATGAGTGTTATGTGTATAGAAATTTAATAAGTCACAATCGCAAGGAATATTTGAATTATTTACAAAGGATTTATTTATGGCATTAACGTCACTTAACTGTGGTGGAATCTCTCTCTGAAACGTCTTATTACTATATATATTTAGTAGATATCTAAGATCCCTCCACAGTTTATGTGACTTATTCACTCGGTATTCTAAAAAAGCTTTCTTTTCTTTATTAATGGCATAATTTACATAATTTCTCAGCATTTTGTAATATTCCCAATGAGGTTTATATTTTGTTATTTTAAATCTGGCCAAGGCATCGTTTCTTAATGAAATCATACACCTAATATTATCAGTCAACCAAGGAGATGGACGTTTAGTGATGCGAGCATTTTTAACTGGAGCAAATGTATCAAATAAAAAATTGAGGTAATAAACAAATTTCTTAAGACACAATAAACATCAAAACTTTACCCTAGACTTACATACTGTAAAGTATCTTAAATACTTCAAAGTATCTTAAATACGTTAAAGTATCTTAGATACTTTCTAAGTTCTTAGATACTTCAAATACTTTTACGGTATCTAAAGATACTTTCAGGTACCTGAGATACATTCATATAATTTAGTTACAGTATCTAGATACCGATGTCAAGTATCTGTGACTTAAGATACTTTTTATGTGAAGTAACAATTTACGTATCGTAAATAGTTACTTTTTAGTAGAAGTAATAGACTAGGATAGATTTTCAATATGTTTTAAAATAATGTCACGTCTAGGGGGTAGCTCTATGCATACGAGAGGTGACGTGACTATAATTGGGGATCGTTGTTACAGATAGAGAATTGCATTGTTTAAAGGTTTATTATTTAAGTATAAGCTGAAGCAAATATTACAAAATCTTACCTTTGCATTCTGGTAGGAAGATTATAACTATTGTATGGCACTGTGTACTACCGACTGTTCTCTCTCTTCCTCGTCTGCTATTTAACTCTTCATACTCTTAGCGTCATATTCTCCTGACAACACCCTATGGTGAGCAAAGCACTAACACGTGCAGAACCTTGATCATCCACAGAATCCTGTCAGTGGTTAGAAATTCTCATTACACAATTACGCGATTGCATAGTACAAGGCTATTTTACCAATATCGGGAGGAAGATGACTACTTAGATTTTGAGTGAAATTTCCATGAGTAATTTGTTCTCGATTTATGATTATGTAGTCGTTAAAAATTGGATAAATTCATTCATTGATTTTCTACTGTGTGGCAATAAGAATGTCAGAAGCAATTCATATAACAATTGGAGAAACAACTTATTTAGACTAATTAAACGTTGCTGAATCCGAAAATGCCTGTTTCCACGTCGACAGTTGGACCGACAGTCCGGAATCCAAGATGGCGGCCAAGATGGTATCCGGAGCATGATTGAGCGTATCTACCGTGTCTTTTGAGCTAGAATCGTAATATACCTAGACGTCGATTTTGGAGTTTTCATAGGTAAGAAAATCAATGCAATGCTTAAAAAAACAGCTGATGTTGATGGAGCATGTTAATTATTCGCTGATCGCGGAAGGTGTGATTTACGGTTTTTTAAGAAAGGATCAGTTTTTATGCATACAGTGCGTGTCAACTAGTAAATAAATGCGAGTGCTACAGTACGTGCAGTAAGAGAACCTGAATTCTTTGCTTTTGTTGTAGCTGTTGTTACGGTAAGTAGTCACCTGTCGTCTCTTCTTAATTTTCGTGTGAAAGATTTTTGTTTTTAA